CGCTCCTGCTTGCTGTCTCTCAGCTCAGCACAGCACAGCACAACACAGGACAGTCTGTCCCATGTCCTCTAAACTTTGTTAAGGAAACAGAGTCGCATCTAATTCAAACTCAGAACAATGGGCAAGTACATGAAGAAATCCAAAATCACAAGCGATGTTGTTGCTGTCATGGAACTAACCTCTGGTGTCCGTACAAGAGCCAAAACCCATGCTTTACAGCTACTCCAGTCTCCTGTTTCTTCTAACCCAGATGCTACTTCCACCTGTTACCTCCAGCTGAGGAGCCGCCGCCTTGAAAAACCAGCGCCACTCTTCAATGCCGAAACCAAAAGGAACCCCACCAAGGAGAAGGATAGTTTCAGCTGTAAAGGGGCTTCTAGGCTGAGAGTGAATTCTTCCAGCGCTACTGGTGATTCCGATGAAAAGGGCACTGGGAAGTTGGGTTTCAAATGTGAGACAGAGGGTTCTGGAAGTTTAAAAGAGGCTTCTTCTGGAGACAACTGTTTCGATTTCGAAAGGTACTCCTATCAATGCTGTTCTCTTGCTTGGTATGTTGTTTCAGTGTATCTCTGTTAAATGGTGCTCTCTCTTTGGTTTTCAAAGAAACAAAAATCTGCCTGACATGTTAGTGTGTGTTTGTTCTTGTAAAAATTTAGGACCACTTGGTTCATCCTCTAGGTTTACGCTTCTTGTGTATAGCTATGTTTCTTTGCTAAAAAATGAAAAAGAAGAAGAAGAGAAATCTTGATGGGTATTTTGATATTTTCTTGCATCCCTTCTTGGTTTCCCTCTAAAAAGATTTTTTGAACTAAATTTTTAGGTTCATTTGTGATTTTTCCTTTTCATCCTCAAATTGAGTCCTTAGCTCCCCCCCTCCCCCTCTGTTTTTCAGTGTTTTTGTTTAGTATTTTGCTCAAAGGGGGGAGTTATGAAGTGCTAAAAAAATTTCAAGTGCCAAAAGACTCTTTTACTAGCACCACTATTTCTTTAGCTTGCATAAGAAAGGTCTTTTAAACGTTCTTTTTCCTTGTTTTTATTCAAAACTGACACTTCTGTATGGCAAACATGCATGCCTAACTCCGTGGAAGGATTTTCTATTTTGAAAGCTTTCATTTTTTTCCCCAGTCCCCTTTCTGAATTCATTTCAATATGTAATGGACCAGTCTACTTCACTTTCCTTTCACAAGGAACTTGATTGCGGCTGCAACATGCAATAATAAACGGTAGTGAACTCTGAAACATTGGTTGTTAGTGTATTTTCTGATATGGGTGTCTACTTATTGTTTTGAAGTGGAAATGTAAATGTAAATTATTTCTTTAGTGGGGGTTTGCTGTTTTAATTTGTTTCCGTGTGTTTTCACCTTCATGTGATGCATTAACCTTATTGCTAGTGTGTGATATTGTTTTCACAAAAAGAAAAGTGGTGTTTGCGACTTGTGAGGGAGGTCTTCTTTTTGATGTAAAACGGGTTTCCTTTCTGCAAGATGGGTACCCATCACCGGTGTTATTATTGCTGGAAGTTGCCTTTCTTTGTCTACGGGAAATTGGTTTCCATTGATTTCCATGTTTTCCATTAAAAGATGAAGAGGGATATTTATGGTTTATCATCTCAATTTCCCTTAAATATCAGTATCTGTGAATGATCTTTTAATTAATAGCCTAGTGAGCTATATCAAATTCACCAATCTCTACCTTTCTTGGACGATTGCCATTTTTTGGGGCCATCAAGCGTACAGATCCATGACAACGTGACTTAGTAGAGATCTGGTTTTCCACTGCATGGTTCTTGAAGCAATCACAATTTACTGTCTTTTGTATTTGAATTTCATTTTGATCTCTATTTTATTCTTTGTTCTTTTAGCTGCCTTGCCAAATAGCTTTCAGAAATTTTGGCATCTGAAACCATAATGATAATAAATTTATTTTTTGCAATATTGGTAACAATAACTCCTCTTCCTCATTTGTGTTAGCATGCAAGGGGATGGTGATGTATCCTATTTGTGGGGCCTAGTTACGAGCCGATGCATTTATGCGGTGTACTCTTAGTTAGGGCTATCAGTAGGTGACAACAAGTTTCAAAGTTTTCCTGTATTGCTGCTATTTTTGTATAATTTTTTACGCGACCAATAATAGGGTTTGTGGCACTACACTTGAGTTTAGTACACTTCAGTTTGCTGTCATAAAAATGTTTTGACTATTGTTTAGAAGGAATTTTGTGGAACTATTTCTGGGACTTGGATAAGTAGCTTGAGTGATGAAAATCACCCCTCTGAATGGAACAATTCTAATGCCTTGGTTTTTATTTAAGCAGGTGCACCAGGGAAAGCACACCATGTAGCTTGATAAGGGACTCAGAAACCATAGCAACCCCGGGTTCAACCACAAGACAGAGAAGCTCAACTGCTGGTAGCCAGAGACTTTTGAGCATGCAGAGAAATATCCCGACAACATGTGAAATGGACGAGTTTTTTGCTGGTGTAGAACAGCAACAGCAGAGACTATTTATTGAGAAGTATGCTGGCTTTAACTCTTCTATTCAAGAGTATGCTCACAGTTATGCATGTTTGACGTGAACAAGAAAAGAAAAAAGAAAAAAAGTTGGAAGTGCAGATTGTTTCATCTAGACTGTAACTTCAATTAGCTGAGGCAACTGTATCATTGAATTTTGCAGGTACAACTTTGATATTGTGAATGATCTGCCGCTATCTGGGCGCTACGAATGGGTCCGAGTAATCCCTTGAGCGGTATCATCTGTGCTTCTGTTCCTCCATCTTGTTTGTCATTTTCACGCAAAGGATTCTGAAAGAAGTGACTTGCATCTTGTTGCTTTATATAATCTCATCATCTATCTCCCTTGCAAGCTCATGCTAAGTGAATGGAAGCCATGGAAGATGTTCAACTCAAAGATCTGTAACACAACAGAGCTGGTGAGTTACAGATTAACATCAGATTGGAATCCTGGAAAAGGCTTGGGACTCATTTGAGAGGAGGATAGGTAGTTTAGGGATTAGTCTCTTAGCCATTGTAACTTTTAGGAGGTAGTGTTTAGTTGCTAGATCATCCTTCTCGTCTACATCCTCTTCAAATTTCACTTGTGTCTATACATGGGGATGAACTATGAATTTCTTAGGGAATAAATGGACTCCACTTTTTCCATGCTTGTCTTTTCTACTGTTTGGTGTCTTGTGCCCTGCACTTCAATTTAGGTTCTGATGGGGATGTGTCGTCTTTCTAAATCTAAAGATAAGATTGTTTGTACCCTACTTGCCTTGGCCGCATACGAGATGTGCTCGTGGTGGTGGTGGTGGTGGTGCTGCTGGTCAAAGTTATTTGGACTGGTTGGTTAAGTTGTGCAAATACTGAATGATTCATTGGCCGAACATGGATATTAATATTTCCTCGTAAAAATTTGTACAGAAATACATTTTAGAGTTTTTTGTTGTGTTTTTTACAAGTTTTTCACCATTTTTTTTTTTAAAGACATGAACAATATATATTTTTCTTTTAAATACAAGTATGTAAAAAATTAAAATCAATATTTTTTATAATAATTGTTAGTTTGGATAAAATAAAATCAATATCTTACAATGAGAATATTACTTGTATAAATTATGGTTTTGATTTTTTTTTCAAGTAGTTATAATTTCAATGTATTTTTTACTTTTCTGTGAAAAATTTATTTTTATTTTCAATAAACAATCCCATTTTTCAATTTCTCATTAAAAAAAACTGGAAATGAAATAGACCTTTATTATCTCTTAGAGCTAGCATCATTCGGCTTGAAAACCATGTTTTCCACATTAGGGGCCGCAAGATCATCCCCAGTCATCTCCCTTTCATTTTATATATATATATATATATATATTCAAGAATTTCTATTTTATTCCATCAGCTTAGAGGTGATGATAGTGATAGTAGTTACCTGGTCCCATTGTGTTTGGACATTTGGGTTTAAAATCAACAGTGATGTTGATGAGGTAGGGTTCATGCCCTCTTGGATTGTTCTGTAGAATCTTACTTCTAACTTCAGGTTCCTCTTGACAGTGGGGTTTTCCCCTTTTCCTGCCTGAATTATTTTGACCTGTATTATTTGTTTTTGTATTTTAAAAATATTATAAAATCACAGCCACCATCATCCCCGGAAACCTGTGGCGGGAAACTTATTCAGGCTGTCAAGTGGGCATTTATTGCATGCACATAAATGCAGAGCCCCTGGTGGAGTCGAGCCATGTCGACATGGGACCATGTACGGATTCTGCAAAGGTTACCTCACCGGCTGCTGCATGTTCAACATAGATTTGATGATGTCCTCACACTTTCTTCAAGCATTTGCTCTTCACATTTATTTTTATACAACTACCTGTTGAAAAAAAGACCAGACCGGAGGTTGTGGCCTGCAAGAAGATGCTCTTGCTTCGACAAGAAGAAATGCCTCCCAAGATTGGCCCTTTTTGACATTATTAAGATGCTTTTACTCAGGATAAAGATGGTAGTAATGATGCCAAATGCCAATTCAAGATGAACTACAAGTCCTGATTGCTGTGGATTTTTACTTCTTACATATATATATATATATATATATATATATATAACAAGATTATTGCAATTAAGATGTAGCAATTTAGATTGAGATTATTTTGCCAATACCATGAGATTAGTTTGGCTATGAATATAGTTCTTTTAAGAAAAAAACATAGCACATGAAAGTTTCTTTTTTTAAAAAAAAAAAATTAGGACAAAATACTGAGATTTTCTCTTAAAAAATTAGATATTTTTATCGAATCAAATATTCCTATAAAGATTTGGTGTTTTCACATATAATTATCATAAACAATGAGTGTATACTCGTTGATATGTTAAATTTCACTTTCTCGCAAGGCTGTGCCAAAAAATAATGATTAGTTTTCATAATTCTCATATAAATTCCAATAAAAATAAAATTAAAACCACCGTCTCCGGGATTTTATTTTTTTTAAAATACATCGAAACAAATATATGATTAAAAGAAAGAAAGAGACCAGAAAATAAGAAGCCACCACTTCTCAACCTTTAAACATAATTTCGCCATTATCTGTTCTCCAAAACACCTTAAAATTATCAAAACAAGCTCAAAAAACTCACTTGGAACCTTAAAAACAAAATGCACGTAGACAACCAAATCAAATTCGAAAAATCGTATAAATTTTGAGATCCTAATCTTCTTTTTCCCACCATTTCATAGCTTTGATATCACCATGAACAAATTTCCCTCGTCAAGATGAGAATATTGAAGCCAAGATTTGCAGGTATCATGACCAAAATATGGCTTGCCAGCACTTGTTCTCTCTTACATTGGTTCCTGTCTCTGTCTCTGCATTCAAAGGATGAACTGTGATGTAAATAAAGTTAGGAACCAGAAAAACCGCAAAAATTAGGGTTGAAGTGAAAAATTGATCAAAACTTGTGATAATAAAATTACAATAATAACATCAAGCAGTAAGTATAAATAATAGGATTAAAGGAGTAGTAAAAATCATACAGTAAAGGCTTGATTAACAATTGATTCCCGTTTTATAAAAGCCAATTGTAAACTGCCAGATTCTCCGCCTCCCCACTTGACAAGGTGTTATTTTTTTCATAGCGATTGGACTTTCCAAGACGGGATGAGAATTTGTTCCAAGAGACATTATTTTGTCTCTATCCCTTCTATCGTGGGAACCTAACCAAACACAACCTTACAAATTGTATGTTTTGTAATGCTTCCTTCAACATCGGATAATCTTTCACTAGATCCCCTCCACTCATTATCAATTGTTATGGTTTTGAAAAAAAATAAAATAAGAAAAAGGATAAAATTCTAATGCTTCTCTCAACATCAGATAATCTTCACTAGATCCCTTCCATTAACTATCAATTGCTTTAAATAAATGGGAAAACCACTATTGAATACCAGTTTGACAACCAAAACAATACCAACTCAAACATCATCCTCAGCAACAAGCAACTTCAACAATATTTCAGAAGAAAAAAGCATCGACTACTGTCTAACTAAATTAGATAAGTACCTGCTTCATTTGTTCTTCCACCTCAAAGAGTAAGTAGATGGTGATCTCATGAAGTTGGAGGAGCTAAATTCGCTGATTGCCTTGTTTCCGCCATTTCAACTTCAAATCCAATTGTATCTGAAGATTCTTCATTCTCTGTTGCCATCATTTTAAGCTTAGCCAGTCGTATGGCATGCAGCTCGTGTCTGATAACATTATACCAGAAGTCAAATTTTGTGAGTGTGTGTGTGTGTGTTGGGGGGTGGGGTGGCAATGGAAGCCATATTTGTAATCACAAACGTTTGTTAATCATGTTAATTCTTTGATTGCAACAATGGTAAATGTGTTGGTGAAATATAAAGATCTAAATATCTTGTTAGGAAAACAAAAGGATGGAAATGGAACAACTACTAGCTTAGAGGCCATAACATAAATCTATATATGTATGTATGTATTATAGCCTACTCTGACCTTCTGTATCAACCCACTCAGTTAAACCTCTATCCCAAATGCCACTCATGTGCAGATAAAACTATTAATTCATGGAAAAATTTAAGCACTGCAATTTATAATTTCTATCTTTTAATTCTTCTCTGAATTCTGATAATCTACAACAGAAGTATGTTGTGTTGTACTATTGCAAATTAATAACATATAAGCCTGATTCAAAAGCTTCATTAATTTGAGTAATTATGCACGTTCTTCTTTCTAATAATTTTTTTTTAATAAAAAAACATAGTAGTGACCTATCCTTAACTTACTGCTAATATTGTTGTGCTTTTATTTTCACCCTGTTGTTTAGGTAAGTAGACCTGAAAATCTTCCATCTCCACTAAAGATTTTCTTAAATATTCAAGCACAAGATAAAACAATTTCACTCGGGTCAACATACTAAATTACACTAAAGCAGAGAAACCAAAGCCTATATATATGACATTTATTTCACCACACGCTGTTCACATGTCCGCGTATAATTGTGCAATAAGCAGGCCATTCACATTTCTGCATAATGAGCGAATAAACAACCAATAATTTCAGAGTTTAGCATGTCTATGTCTATATGACCTCGAGAATCTACAATAAATTAAAAAAGTTTACATTTATTTTTCAGATTTCAAGTGGGAATTTACTCTGTTATTTCTTTTATCATAGACTGAGCATGGTGCCTCAAAGTAACATTTTCTGCCAGTCTATCTATCTATCTATCTTCAAGCAATGTTTTTCAGTTTGCTAGAGAGATAATTTGCCTAAAAAAGAATAAACATCAGTCAGCTCATGTTTTATGGAATGCAGTGAAAACAGAAACCAACACATGCATGAGCTTTAAGCTTTAGCTTTTCAACAAACAGTACATGAACAAGAGAACATTTAAGGCAAGTTGTTCTGAGTTTACTTAAAACCTGTTACTTTGTAGAGGAACAAGATGATATCAGCATCCAAATGCTTCTTTTCTCTCTCTTATGGTTCAACAAGAATTGTCCACTCAAAGGAAATAATTAAAGCATCATTTCTTTCAATTCACGCAGCAGTAAACCTCAGATTTTGCATGAAACTACTGAAAAGTTGCAAGACTTACTCAGCCACATGACTCTTGACGAGCATAAAATATATCATCCAAAATTGCCTCTCCTTCAAGTGACGAGGGCATAGCACAAATCTCAGATGTGAAAGCTCCTAGAAAATAAGATGAAAAAACCTATCTAAAGCACTTGAAAAGAAAAGTTACAGGAAAAAAGAAAAACCACTTCAAGCATCCATCATCATTCTTTAAAATCTTGCATTCTAATTTAAAGGTAATTTCTAAAACAATCATGATAGCCCCCCCAAATGCAAATGTGGTTTTCAGTTCTAACCCCTCACCCATTCACTTTACAGATCAAGCATACCCCCCTCATTCATTCTAAAATCTGGTCCCTCCACATCAAAAGTAGTCTTCTTGCAGTTATATCCTTCTTGTTCTATAGTTTAATACACAATGTCCATTTTTTTAGTTATATCTACCACAATGAAAAGGGTTTAGAATCAATGGTTTCTTAATCGAATGAAGCACCCTTTCAAGTCCCAAGGAGGCAGAAGCAAACGATGTTTCACTTTCCCAGATCCCAACAATCACAAGCAAGAAACTTGTCTCGTAAAAAAGAAAGGAGAAAAGCAAACCTTGGCTTTGGAAAGAATAACAGTAGCATGTCGCTCCTGCCATTCAGAGAGATCCCTTCGAACAGTGGACGATGTTGTCGTTGAAGAAGAAGGAGTTGCCTCATCTTCTAGCACCAAAATACAAAGACAACAAGAAAACATAAGCAAAAGAAAACCCAACATGGAACTAGAAGTAGTAGCATTAACAAGACATGTTTTTTACCTTGGAGTGGGAAATTCTTGAAAGTGTCGATTGTGAAGGACTTTACATGATCGATCAATTGCTGCGTGACTCCTAGTTGTTCCTCTTCTCCTCCTCCACCTCCTGGTTTTGGTATCTGTTGATTTGGGTTTTGGCTGTTTTGGCTATTATCACTACTTCTTGAAACACTGCGTAGAAGCCACGAGGACCAGTCCATCGTTGGGACTTCAAGCTATGATTCTCTTCTCCTGTCCCCTATTTTATTTTCTGGTTGCCAGGTGTCGTTCCATGTAATGTACCAAGCATTTCTGAGGCCCAGCACTGACCATACCTATCCAGCCCATTTAAGCTGGATCAAGTCTGAGATGAGGTGGAGTCAAATGCACTGTTGCATGGTTGTAAACTTGGATCGGACCGACAAGTTAACTTGGGATAGAATCAATCTGATATCTGAATCAATTAGAGTTGAAAAACAAAAACTCAGGCTAACCCGTTGACTCGATGGATTCTAGAGCGGGTCTTGCAGCCATGAAAATAACTCTACCTGGCCCAAACCAACTCGGGCCGGGTTGGCGTGTACATGGTCTCCATTATAAGATTGATACAGAGAGCCCCAAAACTCAATCATTTGTTGAGGAGCATCCAGGCAAGGGAGGAGGGACTCGTGCCCCTGATCTGAATCGCTAGTTCCAACTTCCCTCCCCCTTTGTTTCGCGGTATGCAAGCCTTGCTAAAAAGTTCTATGTCCGATGAACCACCGACAAACGACTTAGTCACTTTACACTTGACATCCATTTGTGTTTAATCAGGCATAGCCTGTCATCTGTACAGGTTTTTCACCTTGTTTCGGTGATAATGATAGGAGATTGGTGACTTGGTAACCGATTTAAAATAACATTTTTTTATATTAATACATTAAAATTATAAAAAAATAAGTGAAAAATAGTTTAAAAAGCATTTTAAAAAGATATTTGAATAACATTACCAAATGCACCTAAATCTTATTTCTTAATGATTTTCAGGATGTATTTTCGTATTGTTTGTTGTTGTATTTAATAGGATAATTTTTGGATAGAAGAATTGTTGCTGGGAAAGACAATTTCAATGGGAAAATCTCACCATCCAGAGATGAAATCCTTCCCTGGTTTATTGTTTTAAGAATTGCATGGGATGCTGCAATAATTTACCGTATCTAAAAATAACGTTGCAGGCAAATTCATGGTGGTTTGGGAATAACTTCTCAAGAATTATATCTCTTGGGTTCTTCAATTATAATATTATAGGCTTAAAAATACTACGGGTTCTTGAAATACCAGGGAAGAAATCCTTCTTTACAAAATATTTAATTAATTAATACAGTAATTCATCATTAAGTCAATAAATACTATCTAAACTTATTATTATGAAATTGTTGAAACTTTTTGAGTTTTTAAAAATTGATGTTTATTTATATTTTTTTATTTGAAAACACTAAAAAAGATATTGATTTAATATTAAAAACACTTTTAAAAAATATTAAGAATAAAAATTATTGTACTTTCAGACACGAAGACATAGTTTTTACAATTGACAAGCGCTTCCAAACAACCATTTTGGTGAGGAACTTGGTTAGTTGCTTGTGAACGACGACAAGCTTTTGTTAATGAGACGGACGACATGGGAGTGGGAGTGCCGTGTGATGAATAAAAGACATGATCGATACATGACATGTGAGGGAAATGGAGAAAGACATAGGATGCCCTTTTACTAAAGCGTGAAATCATGAGACCATGTCGCGTGCTATGGGCCGATGAAGATGGCACTTCAACTCATTTCTCCTCCTTTACCGTCCCCACGCACCTCGACCTTGTCCAAGTCATGCGCCAGATGAACCACGCTGCTCACGCGATGTCTCAATTATTCCGAGGCCTGTTTGGTTGCTGTAAAGTGTTTTCTCAAAAAAAAAATATAAATAATTAAGTGAATTTATGAAAGTGAATCGCCTTTTATGTTTGACAGAGTGAGTTGAAATTACTTAAAAAATATATTTTAGTATTTGATTATATTATAAAAAATAAATTAAAAAATAACTTGTTAATATTTTTTTCTTTAAATTTATTGAAAGAATAAAAACTGAATCTGATATATAAAAAAGATGAAGAAGAATTAAATTGAAAAAAATAATATGGTTTCATAAGTTATTTCAAATGAAATAGTCAATAATAAAAAGAATGGAGATTAAACCTGATAAATAAAAAATTTAAAGATGAAAATGAAAAAAATTCATTTTTATAAATTGATTAAGGTAAAATAAATAGCAATAAAAAAATAAAGACCGAGTATTATAGATAAAAAATTACAATTAAGAAAAGGATAAGAAGAAAAAAAAGAACAAAAATTCATATAAAAATCAAATTAAATCAAGTATCAAAAGATAAAATTGAAAAAAGAAGAAGATTAAAAGTAAAATATATTGCAATAAAAAAATTGACACAAAATTGATATAATCAATAAATAACAAGATATTTTTAATTTTTTTTTCAACTTTTAAAAAATGTTTTCCACTTAAAATAAAAAAAAAATACTTTTTTTAAAATTAAATCAAAATTTTCTTTAATTGAAAAGTAATTTTTTAAAAATTACTTTTCATAAAACAAATAGAGCCTATCTTTATCATGAACTTGCAGCAGTTATATGAAATAATATAATTATTAAACTCAATCTCATTTAACAAGTTATGATCCATTAATTAGAAACTTGGACTAGAATAAGTTTGCTTTTGAATTATTTCAAAAATTTATCTAGTTAAACTCGATTGACCTGATAATTAGTCAAAACTTAAGTAAGAATTGATCAAGGATTTTTTTTTATTTTTTTTCTAAAACATGTAATATTAGTTTTTTTAATTTGTCAAAAATAATTTTATTTTATTAAAAAATCCAATAAACTTACGTTAACTAGCAAGTTGATATGCCTAGCTAGTAACTCGAGTTTGGAATTGGGATGGGTCTTATAATTATGTTAAATAGAAGTTGTTCAAAAATTATCTCAGGGGAAAAAAAACTCACTGTAAACAAGATCATATAAAACCTCGTTTGTTTGTTGAAGAAAATGCGTTTAGCAAGTATGTATGTGTATATATGTATGCACGCACGTGTATTAATTTAATGATTTTCATGTATATAATTCAACTATAAGGTTGGATGGTCTAAATCAATGTTATTTGTGCTAAATAAGAAACTGATAAACATTTTTAAAACCCAATCGTGATGCAATTAGCGTGAATTAAGGATATGATTATGAATCATACCCAAAAAAAAGGGAGAGGGGATATGACTATGTAAGTAAAACAAGGATATCTTTTCTTCTAGCTATATATATTATTGGTGTTACTAGGGAACATGGAACACATTAGTCAAATACCTTGGTCGGTAATGACTTGCAGCTGTATTATATAATAAGTTTCCGGGCTTCTTTGATTTTGTATTTAAAAAATGTATTTTTTAAAAAATAATTTTTATTTTATTTATTTTTGTTTCAAATTAAATTTTTTAGTATTTTCAAATTATTTTAATATATTTTCAAATAAAAAATACTCCGAAAAACAATAACTATGGCACTCTTAAATATTATTTTCATGGGATTTCTTGTCTTTGCTTCAAACTTAGAGATCTTTGAATGCAATGACTTTGTGGGATCTCTTGTCTTTGCTTGGAGCTTAAATCTTTGAATGCAATGACTTCATGGGATCTCTTGTCTTCGAATTAAGCATTAAAATGCATGGAATATATGACAAGCGATCCCAAACTTTTTGGGGGACTCTTTTCTGCCCTCATATGCATGCTTATGTCTGGATGACCAATTGACCATGCACGCTTCATATGGCTTGGCTCGAGCACTTTGACTTGGAGCTCGAAAAAGGCTTTTGTTCCTATCTGCGGGTGAATGGTGGAGGTAGTGGGGGGAGATATCATATCAAATGATATCCTATGAATGCAATTATATGGGATGGGGCCCCAGCAGACCCACTTATAATAGCCCGAAATGACCCACTAATGGGTGGGTGGGTAATCATATAAAATGATCAAAAGTAGCCGCACTTGCATTGCCTTCTTTTTCCTAGCTTCGAGCCTTCTTGTAGAAGTCGGTCTGGTTTGATAGGTTAGTCCAATAATTTATTGATTTGAGATTGGTTTAATGGGTGAATTTTGATGATTTATCATTTTGGAATCTTGATCGGATGTGAACAATGAAAAAACTCAATTTTTTTAATTAAAATAAAGTTTTTTTTAGCTTTTTTTTGTCAGAAAAACAAAAGAAACCTCTCCACCGTCTACCCTAGCTTTAAGCTAGACTAACTCTTAGTTCGGGTCTGGCAACTATAATTTCAAGTATCCTTTATTTCTTTCGGCAATTCCATTACTTGCTTTCTCAAAAGCTATGAAATGTAGAGGTAGGCTATTGATCTTGATGTGTGAGTGTTTCAAAGGGTGTTAATTTTTATTTTTTTGGTGTTTTTTATGAGGATGTTCTATTTGAAAATATAAAAAAATATTTACAAATATTTACAAATAAAAAAATAGTTTTAAAAAATATAACGAAGTGGTCTTCGGTTAAGTATTTTAAAGGCATATCAAGGTAAGAGATTTTTAGCAAGAGCTAAATTGTTTTTTAAAAAGATTTGGTTCACAATTAACGATTTAAACTACATTTTATATCATTTTAAGAATATACCAAAATTCCATGCTAGAAATCTTTTAAATATATCCCCACATCCATTTCAATAACTTAAAATAGGCTTGAACAATAAATGAACCTCTAGTACACAACCTCAGGAATATAATAATTTATAATTTCAATCATACAAAGAGCAACGAGTAACTTTAGACTAACAATAGGTTAGATAGTCCCCAAAGTCAAAAGATTAAGTGTGTTTGACGTTGCATAGCTTTTTAAAATAAATAGGTTAAAAAAATATTTTTTATTATAATTTTAAAAAATATATATAGGGTTAAAACTATTATAAGATCAGTTTTTACATGTAAAATAAAAAAAGTTGGTTTTTATAAATTAAAAAATATATTATTTTAATTTCAACACGGTTTGAAACTCAATTATATCTTAGAGCAAATACAAAAAAATAGAGACTAATTATATCTTAGAGCAAATACAAAAAAATAAAGACTATTTAATTATCAAATATTTGAACATAAAGTTTATTTGAATGGAATCATATAAGATGAGGTTTAATTGACACAAATAATAGTAACTTATTTAAATTAATAATAACAAATAATAATACGGCTAAAAATTCTACAGTGCTCAACTTTTTTTTATAAATAAAAACATTTTTATTATTTTTTATAAATCTCGGATTTAATTATTTCTATTATTATTTTTTATCTCTTTTTTTATAATGGGTATAGAAAATAATTACTCCGTGAATACCATAAACTTTTTTATAATCCAAGAGGCAAGCTATGGGTTTATGCAGCT